GTATTAAGCCAGGCAGCCATTTACAGCCACTATAATTTGAAGGACAGCCTTGGACTTTTCTTTACATAGCAATCAACAAGTTTTACATGTAATATTTTATAAATACTTTGTATTTGTTCATCTTTTCAGTTAACTAACCTGCTTTAATGCGTATTCTCATCCAAAACACAATAATTATTTTGAAGCCATGTTAAACATCTATCATTCAAGTTCTTAGGTTATCGCATTAAGTGAAAAAGAGCAACAGATTTTTTTTAAAATCTTATGAATTATAATTTAACATTTTTAGGCTGTGAAGCATATAAATATATTTCTATTTTGCTTGGATGGTGTTGTGGTCAGTTATTGATAATAAGCAATTATATTCATTTTGAAAGTTAATTTTTTTTTGTTTTACTAATTTAGTGACTAAAATTTGCATTTTCTAGTGGTGTATAACATCACAAGTCAGGACAACAAATTCGCTGCAAAAACTAGGCTGCCACACCCATAAAAATGTTTTGGATGACCAGTTTTAAAATTCTATCCGAAAATGTGAATTCTCATTATTATAAACTTTATCTTGTAAAATTTTTTATAATATCCAATACAATCAGTCACTGTATCTAGTATAGATTCTTTCTCTACAGGCATTGTTATGTGTCCAGTTTCAATTTAGTTCTGTTGACCATGTAATGTTATGTATGTGTGTTTTTATTCTCCTTCAACTAGTCGCAAAGCCCATATACTTTCAGATCTAATTAGTATGAATAAATTACAACTCTGACCTCCCCCTTTTTTGTATCTATATTTTCTAATTAAATTAAAATATTGCTGGTATTCCTATAGCAATTACATGATCAATATTTCCATAACTGTATTAAGTATAAATGTTTAGTATGATCTACGTTAAGTATAATTGTCATATATAATAATGTTTATCATCATGACACCAATTATTTGAAACTGTTTGATACCTTTCAGTTGGTTTACTCATCATACAGCTACATGTTATATACTGCTCCTTGTTTGACTCTTTTTGTTGTTCTTCCTTATTTTTGCAATAGCTGCTCAACATGCTGATATGACTTCCGTTTCTTCTAAACTGTAGCGCTGACCATTGTTTTTTTCAATTTCATAAGATCTTGGTGTCTCCAGTTTTCTTTGATTACGGGTTGTTTCCACTTAATCTGTACTTGTACTGGTATTGGCTCTCATATTTGCAATCTGTCATAAACAATTTTTGCTCTGTTTGTTTCTCTTGCAAATTTTGTTTATCATTTCTACAGCGATGACCTTTTGGTTGAACTTGAGTTTGGGTGGTTGTTAAGTGTGAAGGCAGACGTCGACTAATCTAGATTTCTGCTGGTTACGCCGCGTTAACTATGGGTGTGCTGCCATACATCAGCAATCCATGTATGGATCTTTGCCGTCTTGTTTTGATTTCGACAGCATACATTTTATGGTTTGATGTTGATCTGCTTACTTTACAAGACCATTTGATTTTTAGGTAATATGGAGTTGAGGTTTCATGTTGAACATTCCCCTCTCGTGCAAACTGTTTATATTATGTAGCGGTGTGTTAAGGACAATTATCACTTCTCACGATCGATGGAATTGTTTCTTCCAAAATTTGCTTTCGTATGATTCACAGCAGTTCTGCTTATTGTGTTCTCTAATTTTGACATTTTGATGTGTCAAGAATAATTATCCAGTATGACCAGATAGTTTTTCTGTTCCCAATTATTCATTTTGCAAGGTCTCGATGGTTTTCCTCCTTTAGTCATTGGTTCTTTACTGTTGGACATCTGATATTCTTGACAAAGTTTACATTTCGATACGACAACCTCAATTTTCTCGTTCATTTTTGGCCAAAATCTAACTTCCCTTTGATGGTCGTTTTGACTTTTCTGTGCCCGTATGAGTCTCTTGTATCCTACTTATAGCATTTCTTTTTTCATGCTAGATGGCGTTATAATCTCATCTTGCTTCAGCACAATTCCATCTGCTTCCGAGAGCTCATCGCAATGGTTGCAGTATTCTTGGATTTCACTTGGTGTTTCTTTCCATGTCTCAGGCCACCCATTACGGATTGTTGCTAAAAGAATCCGTTGCTGTTTCTTGTTTAATCTGTTTCGTTCATTCTTCGGATGCTAGTATTCTATTGGTTACCGTATTCACATAAAGTCCTCATTCATCTGACTGGTTTACCATCGTCATCCGTTTAAATAAGTTCGGTCATGTTTATTGGCGATGACCATTTCTTTTCCTGGTTTGTATTTCAATTTGAATCGATTTGATAACATTCTCTGTAGACGAGAAGGGTACCGATGTTAACGCTTTCTTCACGATTTAGATTAATGATTTATTATCAGTTTCACCTTCGACAGATCTAGCGTACGTGTATTGATGTAAGGGCTCTTGATGCAAATGCGATTGGTTTGTCATCCTGAAGTAGTGCTGCTATCAAGCCGCTTTTCAAAGCAACGCATGTTACTGTCACTGCTTTCTTTAGAATAGTATGCTTGGTCTGTGCTTTTGTTAAGATGTCTTTCCGTTCTTTAAAAGCTTTCTTTTGTATAACTATCCATTGTAATTTCACGTGACTTTTCATAATTTCTCCTTCACTCATTCTCCGACTCATGCTCACTAAACTATTGCAGATCTCGCGCTGAGAGAGGTCTGGTACAAGAAATGACCAAACTAGACTGCTTATGTCCATTACTACATCTTGTTTTTGTAGTGAATTTTTCAACTATGCTTGAGCAAGAAGCGCGCTAAAATCGCCTTATTATCGGTTTTGCCTTTTGAAACAAACCATTAATCGCGATAAATGTTGGCGAAAAACCAAAGTCTTGTGCGAAGTGAGGCTGATACAGTTCCCTTACGATATGTTTACTACATACTTCCTAGGCATGTCTGACATATTATTTTGGTGGCCTAAAATATACTGGGTTTAAGGTAGTGATATTTCTGTTTATGTTCTATTCGTCAATGATTTTATGCTACATTTTGCTATTTTCCTGGACGTCATCACTGGAAAAGCTATGTCATAATAGACTCCTCATCTGGAGCATTACTTCTCTCATTGAGACATTCCCCGTGTTGACATAGTATGTTAATTGAAGGTGCGAAACATTGACAGCCTTCCACTGCCTATTACAGATTAATGTGATACTGCCTGTCTGCCTGATCCAAATGGCGGGTGATCGAGACTCTGCTATAGGGTTCTCAAACGTAGTAACAGGCACGAAAGAGAATATCAGAAAGAAGCATGGCTTTAATCAGGCGAAAGACTTATTTACGTTTGAAGACGGGCTAGCTGAAAAACAGTCCACCTATCTCGTTACAGCTCGTCCTATATTGGCAGCTTTATCACCCCTTGACCAGATGGGCGAAGTAGACGAAGGTTCCTCAGCTCCAGACGTATATGTTATCAAGAGTTTGCTTGAAAATGCTCTAAATTTCCTGGAAAATGTAAATGTTCGCCTCAACTATTGGCGTCAATATAGGTTCTCGGAATACCTGACCGAAGCTGGTAGGCTTACATTCAAGGGTAACGTATCTAAACACTGGCATCTTTTCCAGAGTGGTTCAACGAGCGTGTCAAAAGTGAACACTCCCACTACTTCTCAAATATTAACCTTATTAGTTAACTACGACCTAAGCCTCGATTTTTTACAGACGACTTTGTCACGACAGCCCTTTTGTCCATCACCAAATAGGGCGACCAGCAAAACAGCTGGCAGCAAGAGTAAATTAGGCTCGTTACGCTCAGATAAGCTGGACATTAATGTTCATTATAAGATTACGTTCCCTGTCCGGAAAATCCATCGCCACTGTTGTAACCGATCAAAATGATAAAACAACGCTAGTAGCGTTTCCGAAATTTCAGCGCGTCATTGAGAAACTTGGTAAAACAAAACCGAATTTATTGTTCTTAGTGAGCTGTAAGAAACAAAGCGTTGTTCCCATGCTCTTGTGGTTCAAGGTCGTTAATCGGAATTTGAAGACATCTTCAGCCTATCACGAGGCCAAATAAAATTCCCCAACGAAGAAATTGCTCTTGAACGGTCTAACATACGAAAACATTCACGATAAAAACCAAAGATGCCTACACACATCTCTCAGAACAAGTTTGCGTACAAGACCTTGTCAATTTGAAGTCAGTGTCTGATAAAGAAAACACAACTGCGATTAAAAAACATCGAGAGGTTCAAGAAAAGTAACTTTTACGTCTCTGTTCAATTTTTTCCCAAGCGAACTCGACAAACCCGGATGTGTCATCTTTAATTTAGAACTTTCTAAGTGCGAACTCTCCTCCCAAAAAAGGTCTTTAAGCACAAACAAACCATTTACTTTAGCACAAACTTAACTTCACTGATTACCTTGTTCCATTTGAATTTCTCCACCGCAAACTTAAAACTCAAACAATGTCAGCCACTTTCAACTACACAGAGGATCATATTAAAACCTTCCTTAAAGACATCACCGTATTAAGTTACTAGAAGTGCTTACTTTCTCTTAAACCAAAATGACTGCAAAACCTGAAATCACTAAAGAACGACAGAAGAATTTACGTCATGTCACCCGACAAAGGTAACGGTGTTGCAATTGTGAATTGCGACGACCACGTTAATAGGAACAAATCTTGAATTACAAATTCTAGTTCCAAGAACTAACGACAGATCCATTTGTTAACACTCTTAAAGTGGTACTATGACGAAAATTTTGCCTCTCGTTTTTTTTTCATAGATTAATAGTGTATGTAAAAAAATCTCTTCTGGCGAAATTTTAGCGCAATGTATTTCATGCTGCTCGAGTTACGTAGCGATAAAACTTGAACTTTAAGAGCCGCCATTAAAATGCGCCATATTTGAATTTTCAAGAAGGAAGGTGCTTGTGACGTCATAGTCTTAACTCGCGGCTGTTTACAATATAACACTATATACAAATAGAGATTTAAAAGGTTGTATAACTCAATTTATTTAACATGCCTTCAACACGCTGTGTCGTGCAAGATTGCAGTAACAAGTCTCATAGAATTACAGGCATTTCATTACATAAAAGCCAAAACGACGAGTCTTTGAGAAGAATTTGAGTTAAATTTGTTCAGACGAAGCGCGCAAACTTTAATCCGAGTTCGCGCGAAATTCGATTTATGATTTGTTCGAATCACTTCTCAGATGATTGTTTTGAGCGTTTATTCCATTTGGGTGGTATGACTAGACGGCTCAAACCTGGTGCCGTACCTACTATTTGGAAGAAATCACAAACACCAACCACGTCAAGAGAGCGGCGTCAGGTTAGCACAAGTTGCAATTATTATATACTTACACATATTGCAGATGATAAATTTTCACAATTTGAGAGAACCAATAATACATACAGGCAAACTTTCAATATATAATATACATTTATACTAAGGTTTTAAAGGAAATACAAAATGAAGTGTCTGTATCATGCGATGACCTTTGGTCTTTAAACCTAACGAAGCTGCTTGAAGAACAAATTCGTTCAGGCAAACTTCGTTAAAGCCAGGGTGATCCAAAATGCATTTCCTTTCATCGATTTCGAACTGATACATTTTACCACGGCATTGCTCTATTTCCATGCAGCATCGGCACTCTTGAGGGTTGACAACAAGATCCAACGAACAATGGCCACATTCACACCTTTAATATTGGCCAAATTGTATGTTTCCATAAAGTTATCATAGCTAACGGCAGACGATTCAGATCAAAGTAAAACGCTAAGAATGACATCTTACCATGAAGTAACATCAACACGGGCATCAAAACGATCTTGCAGCATGTCTTCAACCCGCCGTTCTTCTGCGACTGCAGCTTCAAACTCAGCAATTTCATCGGGCGAAGCAAGCGGTTCAATATTATCGGCAAATGGCAAAATTTCCGAATTAGATTCGTCCGAATTTGCCGTCATGAATTCCGATGAAGAAATCGATGCGTTTGTCTCGATCGAAGACTCAGAAAGCGAGCTAGATCTCGATGAATTTGACATTTTTTTGCTCTATTTATGTATTACTTTGTATACTTTCCAATGTGCGCTTCTTGCCGTGTTAAGACTATGACGTCACAGACCTTTGCTGATTGCAAATATTCAAAATGGCCGATTTTAATGGCGGACATGAAAATTAGACATTTCAAATGTTCATAACTCCCTCGTTATACTATTATTTTTGCTTAAATTTTACGAAAGCAATAATTGATATGTGTTTAAACTATTGAATGCTAAAATCGATGATTTTTTAACGTTCAGTTTTCGTCATAGTACCACTTTAAGCAAGAAGAACATCTGCGAAGCTTCCTACTTGATCTATAAAGAGACAAGACACCATCAGCGAAGAGATTTACGAACGCTTAGTATCAACAGGTAGCAAAGCCCGGTGATTTATATGGTCTACCTAAAGTTCACAAAGCTAATCTCCCCTTTCGCCCGAGTCTTTCCGCCATAGGCACTCGTTCTTTCGATCTCTCTAAATTCCTTCTTTCTTATCTAATTTTTCTTATCTCTAGCCGCTGCTTACTTTCTGACACATTTTCGTTTCTGGACGCGAACTACGCAGCAGTAACATAGAAAGTGACAACGTCTTCATGGCGAGCTTTGATGTCACTTCTCTCTTCAAAAACGTACCGATTGATGACGAAACGATCGACATAATCATTAGCAGAGCCTTTCGTAAATCCCCTTATTTTCGCGGCTTTTTGTTCATTTGAATTAAAAAAAACTTTTCAACACATAGGTCAAAAATTTCGCATTTTTTTTCAACAATAATTATTGCCTACAAAAAGATGGCTTGCAATGGGGTCACCTTTTGCCCCGTCTTCGCCTACATTTTTCTTGACCATTATATGAAAATAATTGCTAAACAACTGTCCCCCTGAATTCAACCCCCTTTTTTAGCGACGCTATATTAATAGTTACTTCATAATTTTTCGTTCAAAACATCACGTTCCTTTATTTTTGGATTTTCTCATTCAAATATTCCAATTTTTCCTTTACTTGCAAGACTGAAAATAAACGCAAACTCCCCTTTTTAGATGTACTAATTGAGGGCTCTGATAACCGCTTTTTTACATCCGTTTGTCGTAACCCAACATTTGCTGTTATTTTTAACAATTTTGACAGTTTTATCCCTTATTCTTTTAAACGTGACCTTATCTATACACTCTTAGACCGATACTTCAAAATTTCCTCGTTGTTTAATTGTTTTCATGAGAAAGTTATGAAGCTCAATCAATTCTTATCAAATAATAGATATCCGGAAGCGTTCGTTCATTGATCGCTGCATTCACTCATTTTTAAACCTTATTTTCTCCACACCAAACACTGATACTTACAGCACAGACGCCAGCACTACCGAAAACAACATTGATTTTAGCATGCGTTTTACTGGTGAACATGCTCTTCAAGTCCGAACACAACTAACTAAAATTGTTCTTTCCCCAACGGATCACTATAATCTTGCAAATAGCACAGCAATCTTTTTCGATTGTTCTTCTGAGAATCTTGTCTCATCCGTCTTTGCTGATCGCATACCCGAACGCTGCACGTTGTGCCTTGTTGGTACTCATAGTCTTAGACATGTTTAATCGGAGACATAGCTGCATGGTTTCTTTCCAAAATCTCCATCTGTAAACAACGACAACTATTCGAATGTCGTGAAGTTCATTTCTATTCGTTGTTTCATCAACGCTTCTATCTCACTTCGACACCATGTAATGTTATCTGTTTCTATTCACTTTCTCAACAAGTTAGGAAGCCTTGTTTTATATGCTTACAAATGTAATTAGTATGCATTTAAAACCGAGTATAACACCACCTGCTTACAGATCTAATTAGCATGAATATATTTCAGACCAGATCATTGGACTTTCAATTATGAATAGCAATCACATTGGTGCAGCTCGAACTTGGTGCTTGTTAAAATACAAATGTTAATGTGGTATCAAAATATATAAGCTGACCGTTATTGTAAGTTTTCTTTTACCCAAATAACTATTTTAATTGTGCTCTGCTATTTCTATAGTAAAAAAAGCAACAAAGAATACATACAAATGATACAATTAAATTGTTTTACGAAATTCATACATCAACTTAAATTATATATTAATTTTCATGTAAACAAAAAAAACTATGTTTGCTTCTTTAAACCTATTTTAATAAATGTAAAAAATTTGCTTAATCGATGCATGTTGTAATAAAGATTGTAATCATTATACTCTTAATATATTCTGCTGAAGGAAATTAGTTTTGTTTTCCCTTGAGTCTAAATGTTTCCCGAGACGACATTACTTTTTTATTTGTTACGACAAAAAACAATTTTTTTCTTGTTGTGTTGCCCTGGCCAAAAGAAATGCATTGATTTCTAGTCATGTGACTACAAATGAACCAATTACATTTATCATACACAGCACATACATAATAATGTTTATAAATGATGAAAATTTAATCTGGACATGGTTCAGGTCACCTTACAAGAATAAAAATTCATTTTATTTTAGTTTTTCACATAATTTTTAGGAGAGTCTTAATTTATACTTTAGTTCATCATGATATTCTCAATTTCTGTAGTTTGATGAAATGGCTTCACCACGTAAAAAACTGAAGATTGAGGCAAACGGATCTCGTTTGAGCAAACTTTTAATTAATAAAGGTACAAAAGCCTTGAAACGTACATTGCAACATTTATTAAAACCATCAAATTTATCTGCTACACTAAATGATCCTTCTACAATACGCAAATTGAAATCAATAAAATTCAAAGTGATTAGCAAAGATCAATGGGATCTTCTTTACCCGTCAACTGGTTCACCAGACATTGAAAACTTTGATATTTCATTGTTGACTGTCTTATTGCGAAATATATGTGGTCTAACAGCGCCAGCAGGTGGATGGAATCATCTTCCCTCTCACTCAGATACCTCAGTTTCAGCAAATATTGCAAGAATAAAGTATTATCGAAACAAAGTGTACGGTCACATCACGACAACTAGTGTAAATGACATTGAGTTTGAGGACTTGTGGCAGGAAATTTCAAAAGCATTGTTCGGTCTGGGCATTCAGCAAACTGAAATAGATGAATTGAAAGGAGCTCCTCTCTGTCCTGATGAGGCTGATTATATTGAAATGTTAGAAGACTCGTGTAAGAAAGAACAGCTGTTGATTAATTTGGCTGAGAAAACTAAAGATGATGTAAAAGAAATAAAAAAAGATTTTGTGGAAATAAAGAAAGCGATGGCAACACAAGCTGATGTAGCGGATATAAAGGAAGTGATGGCAACAAGAGCTGATGTAGCGGAGGTAAAGGAAGTGATGGCAACAAAAGCTGACGTAGAACAAATGAAGGAAGTGATGGTAACAAAAGACGTTCTAGAAATGAAGGAAGTAATGGCAACAAAAGCTAACATAGCAGGAATAATGTTGCAAGACAAAACATTTCCACATATCGAGAAGCTTGCAAAGTGTTATTTCAATGGTTTGATAAAAGATCTTAACAAGAAATTCTTACAAGGTACTAGACAATGGTTATTTGAAAAACTCGACACTTGGTTCAACGATGAAGATGTTTCTAATGTCATGGTTTTGATCGCTGGACCAGGTGTTGGTAAAAGTGTGTTTTCTGCTGAGGTTTGTCGGCGGTATTCCGAAAAGAAGAAACTTGCTGCTTGCCATTTCTGCAAGTATAATCGATCAGATTATAGAAATCCTCGAATGTTGATAGAATCATTGGCCAGTACCATGTGTGATACAATATCCGGTTTTAAATCCAAACTAAACGAAGGGTTGAAGAGAAACCATTCAAAAATAACGATTGCAGATGCATTCCGTGTTTTATTAAATGATCCATTGCATTCCTTGGAGGATGACGAATCAATGCTTTTGGTTATTGATGCTTTAGATGAAAGTCAAGTTGATGGCAAAAGTGAATTATTGGAATTGATTAAAGAAGAATTCGGTCAACTGCCTAAATGGATTAAAATTTTTTTCACCAGTCGTCCAGAACTTCCTGTTCAAAATGAGTTGAAAGAAATGAATCCTGTGGAAATAACAACTCAACCTCGAGATAAAAACAACGAAGAAGACCTACGCAAATATTTGAAACATCAGTTAAACTCTCCGCTGACTGGGAACTCCGAGCTTTCTGTTTCTGACGACGTGATAAAATTATTAGTTGAAAAATGTGAAGGGTCTTTTCTTTATGCTTATCACGGACAAGCAGAGCTAAAGCGAAAAAATGTTGAACTTAACATAGAGAATATTAAACGATTAGTCCCTCTTGGCTTGAGCGGTCTCTACAAGAAAGAATTTCATCGAGTAAAAGCAACCTTAAAAGAGGTCAGTTTACCAACGCACAGTACTGTTTTGGGGGACGAAAACTTTAAGAAATTCCTTAAAGTGTTGGCAGCTTGTGGAGACTTTTTGCCTTTGTCGGTTGTTTTTGAGTGTTTAGGTTTACCTGATGATGTCAACTTTGAAGATCAGAATAGCATCATTGAAATTATGTCTCAAATTTTGCCAGTTTACGATGATTGTTTAACCGTGTATCACAAGTCTCTCATTGATTGGTTAAAATCAGATGGTTATGATAGGCATCAATTTACAGTTAGTTCTCAATCTATACTAAACGGACATCTGTTATTGTGGCGTGCTTGTGAGAAAGAGTTTCGTCACATTAAGTCGATAAATATTTTTAAAGATCAACTAAACACTGCTATGACTAAATATGCTTTGAAGAATGGATTTTATCATATGATAGAATGTGGCGATAATGTGGACTTTAATTGGGCAGTAGATGTTAAAATTGTTTTCGCAATATTAATGATGAAATCATTTAGAGTCTTACGGAATCGGTGGAGAGAAATCGTACAGAAAAGGCAAACTTTCTTGAGTGAATATCTACTAGAGGAATTATTATTTCATATGAGGATAGTCGCTTTTTACGTTTTCTCGTTACCTGAACATTCATCTTATTTACAGTTTATTGCAAATAGAATTCATGGTTTTGACGAAGAAAGATTATTAGCAAGGAATTTATTGCAACAAGGAAAGTTTGTTTGGTTTGAGAATTTAGAGTCGGCATATCTATCAAAGAGTTATTATTCGACTCTCTCCTTGCGTGGTCATGTTACATCTCTTTGTGTGTTGTCCAATAAAGACCTTCTTGCTGTAGGATATGAAAATGGTCAAATATCTATTCTTGAGCTTCCTGGATTCAAAGAACGATGCATTCTCGGCTCTGTATTTGAGGATTCAAGGTCAAAAGAAAGTGACAAGAAATACACATTTCCTGATTACATCAAACATTGGCAGAATGTAATCAACTCACGTGCGGATACATCAGTGAATTTTGGTGTAGTACCTGGAAATATCCGTTGTTGTTCCTTCTCACCCACAGGCCACAGACTGGTAACTAGTGATGGATCCACTAAAGTAAAGCTTTGGGATGTCGACAATGGATGTTTATTGTCATGTTTGCAATCAGGAGGAGACGTTGATCGCTGTGTCTTCTCGGATTCTGGATTGTTCATCGTAGCAAGTCACATGGATCAACCTGAAGATATATTCACTGCATGGAATGCATCAACTCTGCAAAGAATAGATCCACGCACCGTTGAAATCACACTTCAAAAATATGACATGATTACTGAATGTGTTAATTCGGTCACGTTTAAAGAATTCTACGTTGTGCCTTTTTTCAGCAAGCTGATTATTTTCAAAACTACTGATCTTCTTCAGAGGCATACGTTTATTTTTAAGTACATTGGAATCAAATGTTTTTGTTTTTCACCGAATGGGTCTTTTTTGGCTGTCTTTACAGTCAGTGACCTCGTCAAAATTCATATTTTTAATATTGAGCGCTTTTTCAATGCCCAAACTGTACCATTGCAACTGAAAAATGCTTTAGAATGCTCGTGGTCAGATAATTTGCTGTGGATATGGGACGGTTCTGATCATCTTACAAAGATATCGACTTCTTCTGACAATTCTTTTGTTGATTTAACAAAGGCGAAGCAGGTAAACATTGGATTTAAACCCAAGCGAATCTTAACATTTGGCGTGGTCATAGTTTGTATTGATCAAGAAGATGTCACTCGAGTTGTTAGAATTGCCAAGGGTGAGGTACACTACAACAAAAGACTTTCTGTTGATAGTCTAGAATTTAAAGTAGCTGTATCACCTGATAATTCTCTTATTTTCACTGTAAGCGAAACAAAGTTCACAATATGGAAATGGAGAAATGCTGCCGACGAACTTTACTTGGAGGCTTGGTACACTGAAGAGATAAGGTCTTTTATTGAAAAATTTGTAGGAAAACAGACAAATGTAAAAAATTTCTGTTTCAATTGCATCTTTACAAGTGATAGTAAACAAGCGGCTCTGGTATTCCCTTGTAAGGTGGCAAGTTCAGAATCACGGCATTATCTCTGTCTTATTGATGTGCATTCGACGTGTAATGTGGATGTAATTTGGTATAATGAGAAATTTCCAGACAAGGTCTTATTTGTTTATAAATCGTACTGCATTGGAACAGATTTATTTCGTAAAAGAGTTAAGTTCGATTCTTTGATTGCTCAAGATTTAAAGAGTGGTAAAAAAGGCGTTGAGATTTTTACATATGACGATAATGTTTATGGCCCCCCTATGATAAATATGCATTCCGAAACTGGAACTGTCGCTTTAGTCACAAATGGTGGACGTAGAGTTGAATTTTTTAAATTAAATGTTCCTGAATAAATTATTATTGATCACTGTCGGAGCTTTTAGCCTATGAACATATGAAAAACATGTTGATATCTCTTGACAAAGACATAATACTTCATCTGTGTCTGACCTACGCATATTAGCTACTGAAAACAAGTGGAAAATGTTCCTGATATGACAATTGAACAGTTACAAATGGTGTCAACTAGGAAGTAACACGCCTGGCATTTTTGCATGCCAAAACGCTAGTTTGTATGTCATTGTGTCCAGCGGTTTTTGCACAAAATACTTAATTTAAATAATTAATTACTGAAGATGTCGGCATTTTCAGCAGAAGAAGTTTTACATCAAGAAGACATATACAACAGCGCCGTTGAACAGCCGCCTTCCTACTTAACAAAAGTTGAAGACGCAATTTTCGCATTAGCAAGGGACATGCAATGCGAAAATATGGAAATTGTCTGAAAGCAGTGTGTCGAGCAAGTACAAGCTATGCTTGAATTTTTCAAAGAGGTCTACTTTGACACAAACAATAGTTCGCTGATGTTGATGGGACTTTCTATCACTCCAGCCCAGCTCTTAAAGGAGGAGTCACGAATTTGGGTAATGGGGATTCGTCGACGACTTGGTGGCAAAAAAAGCATCAGAAACCCATATTATGTGGAAATTACAAGGGACACTCCTCATGCATTTTTTGCTACCATGATGCGTACTGTTCGCACTTTGGATGGTTTTGTGGCTCCTTTCTGTTACCAGGTTGAAAACAAGAAGGCTGAGGTGGTATCCTTCACGTCCATGCGCCTTTTGAATGAGTTGCTTGTTTTTTTGTTTGGCTTAGCCAAGGAAGATGTAGCTGCTTACCTAAGGCGAAGTTTTAGCGGACGTCGCAAGGGTCATACAGCAGCAGTTATTGTAACCGAGGTGAAAGACTTTGTTTTTATGTACAAAACAAGGCCTGGAAAGCTTATCATTGGATTTAACTATGGTAAGTTGAATATTAATGGAGTTTCTCAACATGTTTGTTAGTTTATTACAGTTATGATTTCTTTTCTTTGTCTATCTTTTCAGGTAAAGCAAAACCAGTTTGATTGTTCAGCTGTCATGCATATATTTTACTGTGCTTTTATTGGAAAATAATAAACCTAATCATAAATAGCTATATAAATTTGCTTAAAAATTTGTATATGATGAGCAAACAATCAGGCTGAATTCTGATTGTTTCTGTCATCATTAAACATTGGTTACATATAAATTATTTTGGTTGTCTTTAGTTGTGCATTGCATTTGTTTAAACTTTCACAACTGCAAGTACTATATCAAAACCTTTAGATTAAGCATGGTGATTTAAGCTAAACAATTTTTGGTTGGAAATTGCCTCCAAAATAATTTTTGAACATATAATTTAATTTAGTCCTAATTTTGAAGGCAATTACCACCATCAAAACATCAAATCTATTCATATTTTTTATTTATTCAATGATGAGCTTTCCAGTTTCTCACTTTTTACATAAAGGCGAACAAACAAAAAATTTGCCAAACAGCAAAAGAAGCAACTCATTGAAAACTTAAGAAAAAATATGAGAAAATTCAACCTAATTCATGCCATCCCTCTAAAAACAAAGAGATCTACAAATACTTTTTATATTTATTTCAAATTAGAAAGTTGAAACCTGACTAACAACTGAGCCATTTATTTGCTTTTGGTAATTGTTGCATTGCCTGCTTTAAAAACAAAAATAGGGCAAACCCTGACGCAGTATCTTTTATAAAAGATTTCGCGTCAGGGTTCGAAATAATGCTGTGAATATGTCAAATTTTGTGAGAAAATTTTTTCGAATAAAATTTTTGCAGGCTTTTTTAATATTATACAGGTCTAAAAAAGTTGCTAATATGCTTGAAGTCACAGAAAATTCGGACACTATTTTAACTTGAAAAGTACTATAGCAGAAATATAATCAAACCATAAGAATGAGATAGTCGATGTCACAATGTTATTAAGATATATTACTGGTAATTGCATCTTGGGAATTTTGTATTTTTGAGAAAAGTTAAGATCAACGAGAAAACGTTTATTTAAAATTGCGGTTGTTGCGAACGGGAATATGAGTATCCTAGTACTTTCTTGATTATTGATTTGGGTTGTTGGAAGGCCAGGTGTTCTTTAATTATGTATAGGTAAGATATACACGTATGTAAATGATATACATTTATATCTTACCTATAGATGATTACATTACTGTCATTTTATCGGAACATAATTCAAACACTGCAAAATGTCAAATGTAAAACAATGAAGATTTGTAAGAAGTGCCACATCTTTTGAAAGAATTTTTTGTACAATGATACTTTTGAAGAGCTGGAGCAAATTGTGCATGAATTATGACAATTAGCAGATAGCATAACCTGAATTTTTATTTGTGAGTATACTTTTTTAACCATAACATCTCGACTCTAATTTTAATTTTGTGTTGCAAAATATTCTATTTTTCATAAGAATCACGTCTGACTGACGTAAGAATGCGGAAAATGACGTTTTAGAATTTAATAATTCGAAATTTTTAAAGAGCAAAAATACAAAGTGCAAGTGGGCTGTCTTTGCAGCGTTTGGAATGAAACTGTCTCTATGCATATTTTTAGCTGCCGTTTTCTTAAGAAAAATCTAACCTTTAGATTTTTCTTACGCTACTGCTTTGTATGCAAAAAGTGCTGTTCACTCCAAATGCCGATGTTATACTTTAGCATCGCTTTCGGCATCCTAGCTGTCACCCACATTTCATGAAAGCTGATTTAAGAGTTAGAAATGTCATAAAGTGTTGACCAGAATCGTGTCTATCCTTTAGGGGACTCCTCCCACCTCCAATCACTTGAAGAAAGGTGTCCATTCTTCATACGACTCTTCTCTTCTGTAATCATCAAGGCCCTTTTTGAAGTGTACACATTATAAAAGACCACATGAACGACATTTGAAAAAGTCTATAACTCATAAAAAGCGATATTATGGGCATTCATATAGTCATGTAGGCATTGTTACAGTCAATAGTATAAACTTTCATATACTTGTTAGTTATATGTTTGTAAATGATGATCGTCCAGGTTAATAAAGTCCTGAGAAGGACTGTTTTTGTTGTTGTTGACTGACGTTTCGACAACCTTAGCGTCGAAACGTCAGTCAACAACAACAAAAACAGTCCTTCTCAGGACTTTATTAACCTGGACGATCATCATTTACAAACATATAACGATACTCCCGGGCTCAAACCATTTACTTTAATACTTGTTAGTGTTGGCATTCTTAAGGACGTTGGTATTGACATTGATGTAGTCATTGGTATTGGTGAAAACACTCGACTTTGAACTAAGATGATTCCATGGAAATTTTAATGACACGAGTTTGTTAGCTGTTAATACATCTTACAAAGATTGGCAAAAGGCCCAAATCAATTAAGTTTTTATTAGAAGGTTTAATCTAGTACTGAGTAGTACCTGGTGACAGATGAGATCAGTTTGTGAGAAAAAATGGGACAAATAAAAAGAACTGACATGCGAGCGATGCGACATATATGCCTGTTGGCTATAACTTGAGAGGCTTTGATTTCATCATTGTGTTATATAACAGCTTAATTAGATTGCATTGTTCACCATTTCAAATGAATATTTTTATGGGTCCTAAACCTTAGTACATGTCATGAGTTCATTTGAGAGTAAAACGAACCAATAAATAAGAATAAAACCGACATATTGAAGAAAATGCTGATCCTGCTCAATCATGCTACACAATGACGTATCAAACTATAGTACGTGAATGTTTATTTTATGAAAGTAAAGAATTTATTACCTACTAGATAAATTTTAGGAATGCAAAACAAATGTACTTAAGTAAGCCGCTTGCTTGGCCGTTCGAGGGCCGTCTGCATTGACGAGGTTGATTCGACACCTACCTCCTCACAATACTAATTTTTCACAATTTACTGTCAACGAAGTCTTTAAGAAATCGCCAAGATTCAATATTGGCGATATTAGAAAACTGAAACGCACCAGTCGATGGATTTGCAACGCCAGCGCAAGTCTTAGCGAGTCGAAACTTAATGTCTACTATTCCTATACTACATTCATAATCAAACTCAAAATCAGGCATGCTAAAGCCTATTTGATCAACCGAGAAAGAATGCAACGTCAGCTAAAGGAATACCACGACAGACATGTCCACAACATTCGCAAACTAGAGAAAGGACATTTTGTAACCGTAAGAGAGGGAAAAGAATGGAAACCAACAATGGCCAAAATGAAAGCAAATGAACCACGTAGCTAGTTACTTCGTGAAGAAACCGGAAGAAAGAATATACATATACTTTAAAAAAATTACCTGAAAAAAACGTTAATTGTAATATAAGTGTGAAATTCGGACTACTATTTGTAGATAAATATAGAAAACTCGATAAACTTTAGATGCTCTTCAGAACCAGTAGTGTTAGCATTACAGGAATTATAATATTAACTGTATTGTATAATTTATAAAATATATCGGGGGGGGGGGAATGAAGAGAAAAATTGTAACAGTGCCCTCTCTTTGAACCCTTTGCAGTATCCTTGGATATTCTAGTATCTTTGATAAGAAGAATATATATGTAAAATAAAAATAAAAATTTTGAAAACAAAAAATTCCGTTTTCGGGAAATGTAAAAATAAGATATATAAAATAACTACCTGCATCTTTCCTTTAGGACGAGGATTCTGATTTTGAAAGGGTAGAGGAAACAATCACCACAAGAGATATGCAAGAAGATTTAAAGTGTACTCTGCAAACTTTGCACATACAGATGGAGTATTGTGAGAAGAGTACTCTAAGGAATGTTATTGGGAGAAGGTGGCGGATTCTCCGTGATATTGTAGAATTTACAACGAATGATGCACCAAGAAATTGACCAATCAAAACACAACACGTTAACTCAAGTTTTTCCATACTTTAAGATTAACACATGATTTTACTAAACAGTTGTACGCGTTACGTACTAATGAGATTTGTCATTTGAATCAGTTCTTCAGCTTGTGCACAAAGATTAATTGGCAAAATTTGAAACATTTGAGAAGTATCATTCAAATATCTCCTATAAACCAAGCTTGGTTAGGTCTTTGAAGTTTCTTTTAACAGAGAATTTTATCTTTGATCGAAGTGTAAAATAGGAATGGTACTGTGACTTTATGAAAAATGTGAAATCTAAATTTATTTTTACCGTAAAGTTTTCGTTTTAGTAACTAATATTTGTTGTTCCATGTATGAGTTTAGACCCTTATTTATGTTCAACGACAAATGATCACCAAACGTGATCGAGATACATTGAACAAGCAATAGTGGCTTATATAATTATATTCACAACCATGGTGGACTCGTATAACTTGATCATTCTTCACAATGTAGACGTGTTTTGCTTATGTTAATCGTTCCGCTAAGGCTGTGTTGCCTATAATAAAAAAAAATTTGTGCTACGCACCTGTATATTCTGTAGTTTTGATGGAAAACATACTTCCTTTGAGCTGCTTTACACTGAATAAATTGTTCATGGTAAGCTTATTTTTTCTTCTTTAATATTTTTATCAGAATTTTTGGAAAAAGTTTATATTGTTTATATTGTGAAGGGAAATTATTAACTTTGAATACGCTATTCTTCTAGAAATCTTATAAACAATGCTTCAGAATGGACAATATATTCTTTGATGAATTTTAAAGCTGGTCAACGCCTCTTTCCAAGGTGTAGCTATAAATGACAAACTACGAAAGCAAACATAAAATACAATCGAGAGGAACATCTCCATTAGCTCAACACCTGTGTTCATAGAGGAACCACTATGCTTTTGGGCTATGACTTTTTGAAACGTGTCTAAGATTACGATTCTTGCCTGGTCAATTGCAAAGACAAGTCTCTAAACCACGCCGTTCATAAATTTCTAAATTAATTGAAATGAAATTCTTTCGGTATATAAACATGGTATTTCTTTTTTCGAAAATTGAAACCTAAAAGTCCCAATCAGGCCGTAGGATGAGCATCGAAAAGATGTTCAGAAAACGGATTCCGTTGCACCCCTCTCGAGGCTACATAATTTTTACATGAGTAAATAGATAATAATCTCCTGAACCAGAATCTGGCCGTTGTTCCCCATGCGAAACAGGTGCACAATTGAGAGAAATCTTCCTTCAAAGTTTGCGATTTACACGTATTGATAAATTTGAGCTGTCATTATTTTTTGCTATCTACTCATGCACACACTTGCGAAACTCGTACTGCGCAAACACACTTTGCGCATTTTGCTTCTAAGTTGAAACATTCTTGTCATGAACAAAACTATAATGGAGAAAGTTACACTCGAGTTGCATTACGAACTGGTCATTTAGACGGTGTTATGGAGAGACTTCGCAGACTTGCATCTCAAAGGCTGAAAAATGTCTTGAGTTTAGATCAAAATGGACAAAACGTAAGGGTCAACAAGCTTAAATAGATAAGCAATAGTATGAAAACATCAGTAAATTCATGCAAAAGAACCCTTTGAGCATTGACTTGGTATCATCATATGAAATTAGAAATACTTCAAAAAATTGCGCATCAATCATTCCCTGACGGCAAAGACCATTTCTTAGAGAAACAAATATGAAATGTATACACCCAAATATATTTGTGGAAGAGACACATCTTGGTTTACAATGGACAAGCCATGTTTACTTGGATAACTGTAAATACTACATAATAGGTTTTACTGCATTGTAAAGTTTAGTTTTGGATTATCTAACAATATTTATTTAGAGTAAATGGTTTGAACCCGGGAGTATCGTTACATGTTTGTAGATATAGATCGTCCAGGTTGGTATAGTCCTGAGAAGGACTGTTTTTGTTGTTGTTGACTGACGTTTCGACAACCTTAGCGGTAGTCATCTTCAGAGTCAAATGAGGAGTAAACGTCAGGTTAGCTGTATTAGTTCCATTTATGTTATTATTAGTTAAATTCAGGGCAAGAACAATGCCAGACTAACATAACTTGCACAAGACCTTGTAAATCTGCCTTAAAGGCATTGCAAATCCGTAAAGCAATAGTGAAGCATTGGGAATCTGCATTAAAAGCATAGCATTTGCTATGGCTCTCAGACAACTGACATATTCGAATTCAGTAATTTCTTTAGTAAGTTGCTTGGGACATTGTATGTCAAATTCCTTTGTATCAAGTCACGAGACTGCTCTTGCACAGATGACTGCTGAATATATTCTGAATATAGATGAATATATTATGCTATTCCCTTAGGCCATGGCTATAAGAAATTTTCCAACTATTCTGGCTTGGGATATTGTTGATTTTTCTGAACACTGGAAAAGTAGCAACTCATATAATTGAAGTGTTGCTTTTGATATGGAACAAAGTACAGTGACTTAGTTGCCAAAATGAGAAAACATACCATTGTCAAGTGCCAACAACGACACCAGTCTTCGTTTTGAGGGGAAAGTAGATTGTACAATGCCATGCAGAACAGGGAAGTTAGAAAAGAAATTTATTTACTGGCACAGGTTGATGCTAAAAGGAAAGACCTTTCATTCTGCCTTTGTATATATTATAAGCAGAATTAACGTGATTCCAATTTAGTCGGGATGTAACACCCAACTAAGTATTTATAGAAGCATATACCTACGAAAGCAAAACTTGGTAATCTACTTGTAATTAATACATGTAATTAATTGCTCGTAAACTTGTATTGTATTGCATGAAAATTACCACTTAATAAGAAATGTAGCTTAACTCAACAACTGACAGTTTTTAATAAAGAATTTTGTATTCTTTACATTATTTGTATTCTATAATTTTTGTTTCTCCTTGTTCAACGTGAGAAATTAGGGAAAACAATAAGAAAACACTCAGGGAAACCTTGTCTATCCTAACTCCACGTGCGTAATAATTGTTATTCAGGTGTGCGCATACGAAGATTGGACAAATTGATGGCAAATTGAATTTATCAAAGCGCGTAAATCGCAAACTTTGAAGGAAGATTTCTGTAAATTGTGCACCTGTTTCGCTTGGGGAGCAACGGATTCTGGTGAAAGAGGTTATTATCTATCTTTTCAAACAAAAATTATGTAGCCTCGAGAGGGGTGCAAGGGAATTGCATCTTTTGGATGCTCATCCTGCTGTTTAAACTTTCCGACTGGCTGTCGATATATTCGAGTTAATGCTGTATGCGACATGTGCAGTTATAAGAAATGGCCAATGGTAGCCGGAAAATTGGATACAATGGATGGACCATCAACGTTCTAAACTTTTTAAAAAAATTCTACGCCTCTACGTGGTTTTACATGCTGAGCATCTAATCACTTAAAATTGGCAAACATACGTCGTTGTTCGTTCGTCGTTCATCGTTCGTCATTCCTCGTCTGTCTTTAAAAGGATGTCTAGCAAGGGATTCCCGAATACCGTTAGTGTTACTTTGTCCGTAGCTACGTATTAAAGACTGCTAACAGGTATTTCATACAATTCTAGCAAGAGCCAGAACAAATTAAAAATCAAAAATTTCCATATTCCTCTTTGTTGTATAATTAAGTTTTAAATAAAAACATATGAAGACAGAAGTACTTGAGAACAGGAAAAATGTTTTAAAGCAAGCATAATACGTTTGTCTCAATGGCCAAATTTAAGTTTTTATGTCTTTTTATAAATTAGCTTACATTACACATCAAAAATACCAAGGTTAACATGATAACAATAACAAAATCATACGGTGTAACTTTGATTTACATAACAATCTAATCTCGTGCCTATTTAAATTCCTTGTAAACCAAAATATTTCTATAATCCAACGTATCGACAATAAAGGTGAACAATATAAGTTTCTACGCATTGTAAAATGTAAAAACAAAACGAAAATATCTATCTTCTTCAAGGAAAACGGTAAGTTATTGATGAAGTGTTTCTATTAAAATAAATTTACTTGCATACGTAGATATCGGTCCAAGGACTAAATTCTTATATATGACATTGCTGTTTGGCATGGCGAATTTATTTTGAAATTTGAAATTTTCATGTAAACTCTGTCTTTGATAACAATGCAGCTTTGTTAAATTGTCTTTAAATCAAAAATCTTGAGTTTTAGACTCAATTTGTCAGCGGAAATTTCATCGGCAATATGCAGCATTTTATATTGATATTTGTTTATAACAATTTTAGCTTGCGCATAAATTGTGATGTAAAGAATCATTCATTTTGGCATAAGAAATAATAAGCTGCCTTTTCCCCTTTTAAAAGAATTTTATTCTTACGTTAACTCAAATACATAACTTAACAGTTCAACATCACTTTGGTCGAAAGAAAATTTTCGTTGTCGAAGTCCGAATACTTTTGACGAATACTAAGTTTTGTGGTGTGTTTGCTGTTCCTTGTTGTCATGAATTCACCTTATCTGGGTGTTCTCTTCCTACTTTATAAAAGTTTTGCTTTACATGTATTTATTACTAAACATCAAACATTTTAAGTGTTGTTTTAAACAATTTTATTAAACTGTCAATTTATGATTACGATTGCTTTGATTACTGATGCATTGAATCTTAGTTGGGAAATTGAGTTTACAATTAAGAAATATCAATATAAAAATAGCTACTGAAGCTCTAAAGCAAGCATACAAAGAGAATGCACTTGAAGATTATAAAGTTACTTTGTTGTATGTTTTTATCAAATTTATGACAAAACAGTCCAAAAATACCACAAATAACTATAAAAAAGATGATGTATGTTTAATTTACAAAAGAATTTATTCTTGGTAAAAATTTTTGAATTCCTTTCACAAAATATTTTGCGACATTTTAGACATGTAAGATGCACATTCAAAATTAGCTAAACTTTAAAAACAACGCAAAAGCTCTCTAACTTTTTCAAGGAAAACGGCGAGTTATTAATCATGTGTTTGTATTGAAGTAGAAATAATTTATGTGGTTACATAGATGTAGGACTGAGGGAAAATTTTCACAGTTATATGTCATTGATGTCTGACATGGTAAATGTATTTGAAAATGCAAACATGTTCATGTAAACAGTTTCATTGACTACAATCATCTCCTTTATTTATACTGCCTTCATTAAAAACTTAAAAATACGAGCGGAAAATTTCACAAGCAAGTTCAATTTATTATTGTCTATTCATAGCTGCATCTTCCATTGAAATTTGTAAACGGAAATTTATATGTGATGAAAAGATTTATTCATTTTAATTTAAAAATCATAGATTTCCATATATTTTGCATATATAACTTGATTTTCATGCCTTGATTTAAATTATAATTTAACAGTTATCTTTGCAAATATTGGGCATCTACGTGGTTTTACATGCTGAGCATCTGATCACTTAAAATTGGCAAAGATAGGTCATTGTTCATCCGTCGTTCATCGTTCGTCGTTCCTCGTCTGTCTCTAAAACGAAGTCTATCAAGGGATTCTTGAAAACCGTGAGTGTTACTTTGTCCGTAGCAACGTATTAAAGACTGCTAACATGTATTTTATACAATTCTAGTAATAGCACAACAAATTAAAAATCATAAGTTGCCATATTCTTTGCTTATATAAATTGATTTTTATGCGTTGATTTAAAAACATAATTTAACAGCTAAACATCACCTTGAAAGAAAACATTTATTAATTGATGTCCAATTACTTTTGACTCTATAAGTCATAATGAATAATTGAAACAAATGTAAAGAATGCACAATAAAGTCTTCCTGGAAAATGGGAAAATTGCAGGAGCATGTAAGGACTTGTTTACATTAGTTGCCAGACAACAGTGCGTTTCATGTTTTTGTATCTATATTATTACTAATGAAAGTGCTTATTCATAAGATTTAATCGTCGTTATTTTTGTAGAAATTATTAAAATGCAAGTTTCAACACCTAATATTAAATGATGTTGTAAATTTCAGATGTACGTGTTTTTGTAGAGTTGTGTGTTAAGTTTCTTGTTTCTTACATGCAGATGAATCTATACTTTGTTTGGACTATTCTCGTCATACTTTATAAAAATTCTATAAAACTTTCGCTTCACCCATAAGTTGTTGATACTTACTAAGAACAGTCAATGTGTTCTTTTCACAAATTCAATCAAACTGATAGTAGATAATTGCAAATGCTTTGATTACTGGTAAGTTTAATCTTGCTGTGTTGTATAATTAAGTTTTAAATAAAAACATATAAATATAGTACTTGAGAATAGGAAAATTGTTTATGATATTCTAAAGCTAGCATAATATGCTTTTGTCTATGGCCAAATTTAGGTTTTTATATCATTTTATAAATTAGCTTACATTACACATCAAAAATACCAAGATTAACATGATAACAACAACAAAATCATACGGTGTATCTTTGATTTACATAACAATGTAATCTCGTGATTATTTAAATTCCTTGTAAACCAAAATATTTCTATAATCCAACGTATCGACAATAAAGGTGAACAATATAAGTTTCTACCCAATGTAAAATGTAAAAACAAAACGAAAACATCTATCTTCTTCAAGGAAAACGGTAAGTTATTAATAAAGTGTTTGTATTAAAATGAATTTACCTGCATACGTAGATATCGGTCCAACGACTAAATTCTTATATATGACATTGCCGTCTGACATGGCGAATTTATTTTGAAATTTGAAATGTTCATGTAAACTCTGTCTTTGATAACAATGCAGCTTTGTTAAATTGTCTTTCAATCAAAAATCTTGAGTTTTAGACTCAATTTGTCAGCGGAAATTTCATCGGCAATATGCAGCATTTTATATTGATATTTGTTTATAACAATTTTAGCTTGAGCATAAATTGCGATGTAAAGAATCATTCATTTTGGTATAAGAAATTATAAGCTGCCATTTCCCCTTTTAATAGAATTTTATTCTTACGTTAATTCAAATACATATCTTAACATTTTAACATCCCTTTGATCGAAAGAAAAATTTCGTTGTTGAAGTCCGAATACTTTTGACGAATACTAAGTTTTGTGCTGTGTTTGTTGTTCCTTGTTGTCATGAATTCACCTTATCTGGGTGTTGTCTTCCTACTTTATAAAAGTTTTGCTTTACATATCTTTATAACTAAACATCAAACAGTTTAAGTGTTGTTTTAAACAATTTTATTAAACCGTCAATTTATGATTACGATTTCTTTGATTACTGATGCATTGAATCTTAGTTGGGAAATTGAGTTTACAATTAAGAAATATCAATATAAAAATAGCTACTGAAGCTCTAAAGCAAGCATACAAAGAGAATGCACTTGAAGATTATAAAGTTACTTTGTTGTATGTTTTTATCAAATTTATGACAAAACAGTCCAAAAATACCACAAATAACTATAAAAAAGATGATGTATGTTTAATTTACAAAAGAATTTATTCTTGGTAAAAATTTTTGAATTCCTTTCACAAAATATTTTGCGACGTTTTAGACTTGTAAGATGCACATTCAAAATTAGCTAAACTTTAAAAACAACGCAAAAATTCTCTACCTTTGTCAGGGAAAACGGCGAGTTATTAATCATGTGTTTGTATTGAAGTAGAAATAATTTATGGGGTTACATAGATGTAGGACTGAGGACAAATTTTCACAGTTATATGACATTGATGTCTGACATGGTAAATGTATTTGAAAATGCAAACATGTTCATGTAAACAGTTTCATTGACTACAATCATCTCCTTTATTTATACTGCCTTCATTAAAAACTTAAAAATACGAGCGGAAAATTTCACAAGCAAGTTCAATTTATTATTGTCTATTCATAGCTGCATCTTCCATTGAAATTTGTAAACGGAAATTTATATGTGATGAAAAGATTTATTCATTTTAATTTAAAAATCATAGATTTCCATATATTTTGCATATATAACTTGATTTTCATGCATTGATTCAAATTATAATTTAACAGTTATCTTTGCAAACATTGGGCATCTACGTGGTTTTACATGCTGAGCATCTGATCACTTAAATTTGGCAAAGATAAGTCGTTGTTCATCCGTCGTTCATCGTTCGTCGTTCCTCGTCTGTCTTTAAAACGAAGTCAATGAAGAGATTCTTGAAAACCGTGAGTGTTACTTTGTCCATAGCTACGTATTAAGGACTGCTAACATGTATTTCATACAATTCTAGTAATAGCACAACAAATTAAAAATCATAAGTTGCCATATTCTTTGCATATATAAATTGATTTTTATGCGTTAATTCAAAAACATAATTTAACAGTTAAACATCACTTTAAAAGAAAACATTTATTAATTGATGTCCAATTACTTTTGACTCTGTAAGTCATAATGAATAATTGAAACAAATGTAAAGAATGCACAATAAAGCATCCCTGGAAAATGGGAAAATTGTAGGACCATGTAAGGACTTGTTTACATTAGTTGCCTGACAAGAGGGCGTTTCATGTTTTTGTAGCTATATTATTACTAATGAAAGTGCTTATTCATAAGATTTAATCGTCGTTATTTTTGTAGAAATTATTAAAATGCAAACTTGAACACCTAATATTAAATGATGTTGTGAATTTCAGATGAACGTCTTTTTGTAGAATTTTGGGTTAAGTTTCTTGCTTCTTACATGCAGATGAATCTACAATTTGTTTGGACTATTCTCGTCATACTTTATAAAAATTCTATAAAACTTTCGCTTCACCCATAAGTTGTTGATACTTACTAAGAACAGTCAATGTGTTCTTTTCACAAATTCTATCAAACTGATAGTAGATGATTGCAAATGCTTTGATTACTGGTAAGTTTAATCTTTCTGTGTTGTATAATTAAGTTTTAAATAAAAACATATGAATATAGAAGTACTTGAGAATAGGAGAATTGTTTATGATATTCTAAAGCAAGCATAATATGCTTTTGTCTATGGCCAAATTTAAGTTTTTATATCATTTTATAAATTAGCTTACATTACACATCAAAAATACCAAGATTAACATGCTAACAACAACAAAATCATACGGTGTAACTTTGATTTTCATAACAATGTAATCTCGTGATTATTTAAATTCCTTGTAAACCAAAATATTTCTATAATCCAACGTATCGACAATAAAGGTGAACAATATAAGTTTCTACGCATTGTAAAATGTAAAAACAAAACGAAAATATCTATCTTCTTCAAGGAAAACGGTAAGTTATTGATGAAGTGTTTCTATTAAAATGAATTTACCTGCATACGTAGATATCGGTCCAACGACTAAATTCTTATATATGACATTGCCGTCTGACGTGGCGAATTTATTACGAAATTTAAAATGTTCATGTAAACTCTATCTTTGACAACAATGCAGCTTTGTCATATTGTCTTCAAATAAAAAATCTTGAGTTTTATAATCAATTTTTCAGCGGAATTTCATCGGCAATATGCAGCATTTTGTATTGATATTTGTTTATAAAAATTTTAGCTTGCGCATAAATTTGCGATGTAAAGAATCATTCATTTTGGCATAAGAAATTATAAACTGCTATTTCCCCTTTTAGTATAATTTTCTTCTTACGTTAACTCAAATACATAACTTAACATTTTAACATCGCTTTGATCGAAAGAAAAATTTCGTTGTTGAAGTCCGAATACTTTTGACGAATACTAAGTTTTGTGCTGTGTTTGTTGTTCCTTGTAGTCATAAATTCATTTTATCTGGGCATTCTCTTCCTACTTTATAAAAGGTTTGCTTTACATATATTTATTACTAAACATCAAACATTTTAAGTGTCGTTTTAAACAATTTTTTTAAACAATATTATTATTACGATTTGAGTTTTATAATCAATTTTTCAGCGGAATTTCATCGGCAATATGCAGCATTTTGTATTGATATTTGTTTATAAAAATTTTAGCTTGCGCATAAATTTGCGATGTAAAGAATCATTTATTTTGGTATAAGAAATTATAAACTGCCTTTTCCCCTTTTTAGTATAATTTTATTCTTACGTTAACTCAAATACATAACTTAACATTTTAACATCGCTTTGATCGAAAGAAAACTTTCGTTGTTGAAGTCCGAATACTTTTGAGGAATACCAAGTTTTGTGCTTTGTTTGTTGTTCCTTGTAGTCATAACTTCACCTTATCTAGGCATTCTCTTCCTACTTTATAAAAGGTTTGCTTTACATATATTTATTACTAAACATCAAACATTTTAAGTGTCGTTTTAAACAATTTTATTAAACTGTAAATTTATTATTACGATTGCTTTGATTACTGATGCATTGAATCTTAGTTGGGAAGTTGAGTTTACAATTAAGAAATAAAAATATGAAAATAGCTACTGAAGCTCTAAAGCAAGAATACAAAAAGAATGCACTTCAAGAGTATAAGCTACTTTGTTGTATCTTTTTATCAAATTTATGACAAAACAGATCAAAAATACCACAAATAACTATAAAAAAGTCACGAGATTTATCTTTAATTTACATAAGAATTTATTCTTTGTAA